GCGCACACACAGTCAAGTCACTTTAAACTCTCTTGAGATGCAACGAAAAGTACCATTTCTTTGGAGTGTACATTTCATCTTACATCGGAAAATTATTTGATAGCCAGGCATTGCATAAATATAACCGCGAGGTTAAGGGATCTCGACCAGTAGGAGTGGCTAAGCTGTTTAATGTTTTTGATTAAATCTTTAAACGAAACAGCTATTAATGTCAAAGCTGATCATTTCGAGAAAAAACGTACACAGAAGTATAGCACTTAACATTTCCTTATATGCATGAAAAGGATGTTTTTCAAGCTTTATACTCTGTACTGCTTTGCGTATGTAGATGCATTGCCTCAGGCACCTTTGTGAGCAAGCTGTAGGCAATGTCACAACTTCCCCAACCGGATTTAGTCGCAGTAGTCTCAATGGATAGGCCATTACATTCTGTGAAAAGCAATAAGCAGGCAAGTAGCCTTTTCACAAAAATGTTTCAGATAGCAAATTTGGAGTTCACAATTTAAACATGAAAACATGCAAACTTAACCATGTCTTCTTTGATTAAAGTAAAAGGAGAAGCATCCTAACGTGTACAGAAATGCTTGGTCAATTTGGGATGTAAAAACGTGTACTTTCAGTTTACGTAACTAAAAAAAAATATCAAACTGTCTTCATACATTAAGAAGAGTACAGAGACACGCAAAAAGTAATTCTAAGAAAAATTCCATTTCATGGATCCTTTAATACTCTTAAGTTATGACAACCGTGTGATGTCCTCCATCTTTTATGAGGCTTCACCTGTCCGTATCGGCATGATTTGAAAACTACCATAACAAACGCAACAGGACATCAAATGAAACCCGCCAAATATGAAACAGCACGTGTGCACTGCTTGATTTTCACAAGAACAGATCAAAACTTGCCCAAATCAATTAAGTGGTTCGAATATCTTTCTGTTTATCCTATTGTCATTCCAACAGGGCCATTTTTTTATATGGCCTTCCACAAAAGACTGCCATTCAAATATGTCCGACGAAACTATTAAATTAAGCATCGGTGCAATCGAAGCTGGTAACAGCGTTAGTAAGTAAGCAATAGTAATAGCAATAGCAATAGATGTTCACAATTTTATTCAGTCAAAAGACAATAAATATATGTAACAGTTGACGGAAAGATAATACTTGGTCTGTTTAATGTAATGTGTTATTACAACCGTTGAAAATGCAAATGTGACCTTCAATAAGCGAAACTGTGATGTTATTTCAGGAAGAATCCAAATGTTGCATTGATCTCTGCGCAAGGGTTGGCTGAAATTTTTGATATTTTGCTATCCTGAATTCTTTAATGATTCACTGATGCGTGGCACATTGCAATGCAACAACTACTACCCTTATTAAGAAATGTTTTCCATAAAAAACGTTTAGGTTCAAAATTTGTATAGGAAAATCTAACACTACAAAGGGAATTCCCTAAATAACATCGCAGTAACTAGTGCCTTTGTTTTTTTCAGAAACTCCCATTTATGTTGTAAAGATGAAGTTCATATAATTTCATTTAATAATTATGCTGTGTTTCCACAATTAACATCAATGTAAAATTTGGATTGAGACTTTTAAAATGTCTTAATTTGTGTAGCCTGCACTATTTTTTATTACAGATAAACTAAATTTACCACCTCAATTTCTTTGTTAGTGAAGGCACAGTAGAATCTATTCTGATTTGTCAGATAAAGTAAATCCATCTAATAAGCCCATGGGGTGAGTTGTGGTCAATCACATCTGTGCATGAGTCAGGTATGCATGCACTTACGTTCATGACGCGCACGGTTTAATATAATAGTATCCAAGTGCAGAATTAAAACGATGAAAACCACAAATATTATTTTATCCATACAGTATGAAATTAATGAGCGTACCTTTGACATAAGGTCAGTCTTAGTCAGCAACACTCATGTGTACATGTATTATTCCTGACGTTGGCTGCATTTTGATCCTTGAAATTTGCTCAAACAACAGTTTAAATACAATGTATTTCCAGGAACCGTTCGAAACGCCACCTTGGAAAAGCTAAGCATTTTCTTTTTATGTTGTTATAAAGTTGTAAAGACCTGACACGTTCCTAATAATATAAACAAAACTGCTGGCCTTAGAGCAGGCCTCATGGGTAGAATTCCATTGCCATTCCAACATCTGTTGCAATATATCGCTACTTGCGGCTCATAACGTTGAAGCCCGAGCAGTGTATCCCTTTACACACAATACTTCTGTTTGTCACGTCCCCACTGTGCAAACTGCAACCAATCTGCGTCTGTGGTGACTGTGATCATTGTCATTGGCAACCACAAGCACAAGGCAACTAGATATTTAATTAGCAAGAAAACGAACAAAATCTTCAACCGAGGTTTTCGATAAGATTTATAATGCGTTTAAGAAGAACAAGACCCCTCAACCCCTTAACAAAAGCCACAAAGAACAAAGAAAAAAACACATACAAAAAGCAAGTAGAAACTGGTGCTAAAAAGTCAAAAATTGGAGAGATTTCTTTCCAAACATCAGTTCACACGACTGCGGTGAAATTGTTTGTACCGGGCTAAATAATTGATAATAACATTACAGAAATTCTAGAGTGTCTCGGTGGGAGGGACAGCTATTTACGGCAGCTATAAGTTGTGTATATAAACTGTGGTCTGTTACCTAGCGATTAGAGTGTGTGGCTCCTGACCAGAGGGCCTAATGTTCGAATCCATCACTGAACAGGTATTTTCGTCCCTACTTGCCAGACCAGGAGTGTAAAGAGGTACCATCAGCAAGTGGTAACATAAATATTCTGTGTTATGGACATACCTGGCTAAGTTCGATCAGCGACAAATTGTCAACCAATGGTCGATTTTGACAGGTAACCTATGCGTGGAATTATATATACCGGGCACCAGATAAAATCGACCAGTGACCTGCAAGGGTTAACCAATCGTTGCTGATCGAACTTGCCCCTTGTAAATACCGGGGGACTGAGTAATGTACGCCTTGTGCAATTTTTGTCGGGGGGGTCAAAGGATCATCACTTGGGGTTTTGTGTCGAGCAAAAATAAGAATGCTTTAAAACCGTCCAGCAATAAGGTCACCATCAAGAGGTTGCCACGGAGACGGCGTTTTTACCTGTTTACAGGAGAAAAAAAAAGCATAACCAGCTTCCTGCAACTTGTGTTATGTTGAGCATATGTGAACTCAAAGGGGAAAATTTGATAGATTACAAGACATTCCATGCAACACAAAGAATAATTTGCATGGATTTACACCACACTGCAGCGCCCTCACCTCTCTGGTAAGGCACGGTTACTTTTTAATGCGTAAAAAAACTAAGCTCACGGCTCACTTAAGTCCAAAAAGATGTCAGTTTTTATACTGTGCATTGAAGAAAAGTTTACACTTGCACAAAAGAGGGATTCTAAGAAAACATCGTGGTAGTGTTCCTATTTAGGATGCTTTTTTGTAATGTGGATTACTTTTTAGCATGTCGAATATTGGCCATATCAGTTAGAATCGATTCGAGTTATGAATGCACCATATCTTCATACGTCCTGTATTATGCTCAGATTATTATTATAACTGTCATTAAAATTAGTAAAAATGAAAACATAAAAGTCTAAGGGCTTCCCATGTTCGGTCAACCTATAGTAGGACACAGAGAATTGCGTAGCATCAAGAAAATGTAAGGATCTGAAACCCACTTTTATTAGGGGTTGGTTGCTGAAGGACACAAATGGTAGTGTCACAATGTTTCCAGCCCCCACCCACTGCCCCATAAACACACACACAGCTAAACTTGTGGGGTATTCCCTTTGTTCTCGTGTACAAAACTCCGACACAACACGCAAACATTTTCAAATCACTCCCATTTGAGCCAGATTCACTTTCCTACCTTGGAATTTTGACGAAACGTCAATTATTTAAAATAGTTTATTTA